GCCCGCCACCTGATGGCGTTAGTCTCGATGTCGTAAACCGTCACTGGTCTGGCATCCCTGCCTCCGGGGGTTGGAGTTTTGAGCGGGATCGTTCCGAGCAACGGGTCGAAGAGAATCGAGCGCAATAGCGAACGGGGGCTCACCTCCAAATGTTCAGATTAAGAGGATTAGTAGGGATTAGTAGACCGTTTCAAGCGCGAAAGTGAATGGGGCTAACCTCCGAAGGTTGGAGCACGAGCGGGACCGTTCCGAGCGACGGGAAACAATGAACCGAGCTCGATAGCGAACGAGGGCTCTGCTCCAAGCGAATTGTTAAGGGATGAATGAATAAGTGTGTCTACGGAATATTGAAATTATGTGAATTAAATATAAAAAGCGGCATACACGTAGATAGGCTGGTGCCAAAGCGTATTTTAAATGCTACAAAAAAAAATTAATAACAGGCAACGACCGGCTGGCAAATGAAGTTAAGGATGTAACAAAACGAAAAAAAATGTTTAAACACGAGATAATGTGAAATGGGGGTGCTGTTTAGGGGTGAAATCGGTTTTTCTCGACTTGCGGCGAAGGGTGACCTCCTAGTGGAAAATGTTCAATACAAAAGTTATAGATAATAAAAAAATCTAAAACTTTTGTATTTGACATTTTTCAACATAACTGTAAGACATAAGGTATTATATATATATTATGTCTATGGCTTTTCGCACATGCTCCTGATAGCTGGCGACCTCTCGCCAGCTGACGCTCTTTGCACTATCACGCTAGCGGCGCTCGCGACCGTGCGCCTGAAACAAAAAGCCGGAGCACGATCTTCGGAGCACGAGTAACGGAAATCGCTATAGCGAAATACAAGTACGACCGACACGTTATCGAAGTACGTTCCGCTGGAATACGTTACGCTTACCGATTCGTTAGAATAGTCTCGAGTCTCTTCGGAGATGTGCTTACCGTTCCGTCATTGTATTTAAACTTCGCTTGATTTATAAGTCTCGCAGTGTAAGGTTGTGTTAGAAAATAAAGTCAGTGATCGTTGAATTTCAAATAACCTGACTGTTTATTCGAAACCTTCACCATACCGTATCACACGGTGACATCCTGATTATAAAACCCGCTCTTAAACTAACGGGTACTAAAATCTAAATCAAAAAATCAAACACGAACTACAAATAAAATAAAATCTTACAATTAATTTCTCAGAAGTGGAATTCAGCTCACGTACCGCCCACAAAAGTGGATTAAGAGATTTAGGGATAACTTATGCAATTCCCATAAACGTGGAGTAAAAAAAAATTTAGTCGACGCCTCTCCTGAGGATCGAGAATTGCCACGTTTAAGTTGGCCGTTAGGTGCTACGGCCTTTCAGGTCATTTGTGTTGTTGGCACGCGTACTCGTCGTGTTCGCGACAACCGCGTTTTCGGTCGCGTCATCCGCGGCCGCGACTTCAAAAAACAATAAAGGAGAACTTCGTATTTCTTCGAAGAAGAGGATCTGCGGGAAACAGAAAAAGTTGTGAATTGCCTGCAAAGATTACTCTGATAATCATGAATAGATCACAATTAGACAAGATGACGATCGATCAACTTCAAGTAGTAGCTCAGGGGTATAACCTGCCTCTGTGCGAGGATTCCAAAAAGTTGATTGATTCTATCATGACGTACCTGGAGCGAAAGCCTCAGGCGACGCAAGGGATCATCACGGGTTCCCCAAGTAATGGGACATTACCAGGACCATCATCGGCTAAGCAGCAGTCCTCTGGAGTAACTACCATACAGACCTGGCAAGTCTCTTCGGACGTAGCGTCGTTGATTGCTACAGTCGTTAATCCTATGCATCAGGACATTCTGGAAGGCCAGAAGCGACAGCAGGAGCTTTTGTCCAAGATGCTCGAGTTACTCTCGAATCACCATGGCACTCTAGCTAACGAGTCATCGGAGGGTCAACCGATGCAACCTATGCAAGAGGCGGTATCGCCCGATGGACGAGGAATACCCCCGTCCTCTCAACGTACTACATTAGGTACGATAACGTCGGCTCACGCAGTCACGCTATTGGCGACGCAGATCCCCACATTTGGAGGATCGGATTCCGAAAATGTACAATTATGGGTACAAAGGGTGGAACAAGTGGCCCGCATCCATGATGTTCAATCAGATGTTACCTTGCTCGCTGCATCCAGCAGGTTAACTAAACTGGCGAAGAGATGGTATGACATTGGTTCAGGATCCATGCTCGAATCATGGTCAGGCTTCAAGGAAGCGATCTTGAAGAGATTTACTCGCAAAATCCTGTACCATGTAGCCATGCAGAAAATTGAGGTTCGAAAATGGAACAGCTTCAAGGAAACTTTCCTCGAATATGCAATGGACAAACTGACATTGATGCACGATCTCAACCTATCTCCATATAGTATCATTCATTTGCTGATCAGTGGAATCAACAGTCGGTCCCTACGAGAGACAGCGGCTGCACTCGACCTGAAATCTGTCGACTCATTCTTAGACTCGATGCACAAAATTACATCGGTCACATTAGAACCGGAAAAGCGGCTCACAACGGATTCAAAGGCCGCAAAGGTAAAAAAGCCCACTTACAGAAGAGGTGGCAAACCAGCTCATCCAGTATCGACATCTCAGAAGGACAAGCCGAACACGTGCGGGTTCTGCAGGATCCCGGGACACACGTTCGAAAATTGCTATAAGCGACGACGTCAAGAACGGCTTCAGACGACAGCCAAGGCTTCGCCTACAACACCGTCCACCACGTCGTCGACAACCACCGTCTCCGCTGTCGAGACAGTGAGGGATGACCAAACGATAGCACACGTCCAGCCTAAAAGTAAGAATTTATACATTAACGACCTCGCGTTGGAGGTTACGGCCTTTAATAAGGTTATTTGTAAAATGTCCGCGTTGTTAGACACGAGTAGTCCCATATCTTTTGTTAAACCGTCAGTGTTTTGTAAAATTTTTACGGACAATTTTGATATGTAACTCCCGCCAAAAGTAGAATATAAAGCAGTAAATAACTTACCGGTGTTAATACACGGGTCGATTGTAACGACAATCGCATTGAAACAAATAGATGACGTCGAATTAGAGGTTAATCTGCACGTGTTAGCCGAAGATAATCTTGCCACGGATCTTATACTAGGCCGCGATTTCCTAGAAAAACACGGCTTGACAGTAGTATATCGCCCGGTTGGAAAAACCGCTGACGGCGCTGTCGCGCCTCCGCGCGCGTTCCCAAAGTCATTGCAACAGATTCTCGCCTGTGCCGAGATTAACGACAACTCAAATCGATATAGCGAAATTGTCACTCATTTTAATAAAGAGGTTACAGCTCAGCTGACTAGTTTATTAATGGAAATCTATAACAAGCACGTCGATCGAATTGACGACGATTATAAAGTCACGGTTAAATTAAAGGATGCGTCGGTTTTCGCGTACGCTCCGCGACGATTCGCATACCAGGAAAAATTACAGATACGAGAGATCACCAATGACCTCCTGGCAAGAGGCATTATTAAAAAGAGTAACTCGCTGTATTGTGCACGCGTCGTACCGGTACGAAAGAAAGACGGCCGTATGCGCCTATGCGTGGATTTACGTTCTCTTAATCAACGCGTTATTAAACAGAAGTATCCTTTTCCGATAACAGAAGACTGCATAGCTCTTCTTGGAAATAAGCGTGTTTTCACCCTTCTCGATTTACGAGATGGTTTCCACCAAATCAAGGTCGATGAGCAAAGCACGCAATATTTTTCATTTGCTACGCCTGACGGGCAGTTCGAATATAACCGTCTTCCGTTTGGTTTTTGTGAAAGTCCTGCTGAATTTCAAAAGAGGTTGATAAATATTTTTCAACCGCTTATCGAGGACAATAGAGTAATAATATACATAGACGACATAATGATCGCGACCGAGACGGTTGAGGCAAACTTAAATATTTTGAAACATGGTTTGCTCACCTTGAAAGCGTACAGCTTCGAGCTCAATCTAGATAAATGTAAATTTCTTCGGCATAAGGTCGAATATTTAGGATATACGATTTCACACAACGCAATCACGATTAGTCCACGACACACCGAGGCGATCGGGCAATTTCCGCGCCCGCGTAGTGTTCTGAAAATCCAGCGATTCCTGGGACTGGCTAATTATTTCCGTAAATTCATCAGGGACTTCTCTAGTAAAACTAAACCGCTTAGAGAACTATTACGTAAATCATCTGTTTTTGATTTCTCCGATAATTGTATTAACGCGTTCGAGTCGATTAAAAGAGAGTTAATTTCCTCCCCTGTCTTGGCTTTATATAATCCGAGTGCGGAAACGCAACTGCACACGATGCCAGTGTCAGAGGGCTGGGTGGAATTTTACTACAAAAGCAGTCATCCGGAGACTGGAAGCCGGTGGCATATTTCAGTCAGCCTACCAACGAGTCGGAGAAACGGTATCACAGTTTCGAGCTAGAAATGCTAGCTATAGTGCGCTCTATTGAACGTTTTCACATTTATTTATACGGTCTGAATTTTACAGTAATAACGGACTGTAACGCGCTAGTATACGCAGTAACAAAAGCCAACTTGAACCCACGAATCGCACGTTGAACACTTGCATTACAAAATTACACGTTCGATGTGAAACATCGAGCTGGCGAGCGAATGGCACACGCCGATGCGTTAAGCCGCGCGGTACTTTACGTAGACGCCCTTCCCCTCGAACGTGAGCTCGAATTCAGGCAGTTAAAAGATACGCACTTGCAATCGATTGCCAACGAATTGGAGTTCACTGATAATAAAAAATTTGAGTTAATCGACGGCCTGCTCTATCGAAAGGACGCAGACTGCCCTAGATTTGTAATACCAGAGGCAATGATCACGAACATAATACGCGTATACCATGATGAAATGGCCCACTGTGGCATCGAGAAAACGATCAAAGGTATAGCGAATACCTATTGGTTCCCAGGAATGCGACGAAAGGTTGTCGACAACTGTCTGACTTGTATAATGTCCAACTTTTCGTCACATTCGAAGGAAGGTGAATTACAAATAGAGCCTATGTCTAAGGAACCATTCACATCTCTGCATATCGATCATTTCGGTCCGCTCCAGCAGACTGACGATGGCTATCGTCACATTTTCATAGTAATCGATTCATTTACAAGATTTACGTGGCTTTTCCCCACGAAGACTACTAGTGCTAAAGAAGTGAAACAAGGCTTGAAAATTCTCTTTGACATTTTTGGCTCGCCGCAGGAAATAATTTCCGATCGCGGAACTGCATTCACATCTTCAGAATTCAAATCGTTTGTCGAACGCTATTCCGTTAAGCACCGGCTAATTGCAGTAGCGTCTCCATGGGCTAACGGAATGGTGGAGAGAGTGAACCGCTTCGTAAAATCGACACTCAAAAAAATCGTAGAATCAGCTTCGGATTGGAAAAAATCATTAACCAAGGTGCAATATGTCTTGAATAATACTTTCCATTCGAGCATTAAAAACTCGCCTTCTAAAATATTTTTCGGTTATGATCGGCGCAATCACTCCGATAAATCGCTTGTAGATCTTGTGAACGACTTAGCGGGTATAGACTTAGATGTGCAAAAGCAACGCGACGTCGATAGAAATATAGCAGCCGAAGCGACGCAACAGCTATGGGAATATAACAAACAATATTATGACAAAAGACATATCGCTCCTACTAAATATAACAAAGGTGACTATGTAATGATTCGCAAACTTCAATCGAAACCAGGAGAAAGCGCCAAACTCAACCCTCCTTATAAAGGGCCGTACATGATTGACGATGTACTTAAAAACAATCGTTACGTCGTAACGGATGTGCCGGGATTCAATAGAACCCAACGACCGTACAAATCAATTCTATCTTCTGATAAAATAAAACCCTGGATTCGACCAATAATTGGATCGGACGTAATCACACAATGAATGATAAGTTTTATTATATATCTCTGTATCTGTTGTAAATGGTAAAATAAAAGTATCACGTTTTAATTAAGTATACTCTTAGCATTTAAGCGATTATAGAATCTAGTTTCACATACATGTTCAATAAAATTATTAGGTTGTAAGAATTTATACTTAGCGTACCAGCAATAAATTATTCTAAGCTGCGAAAAAAAAAAATCATTCGAGGACGAATGCTTTGTCAACATGGCCGAACTGTAAGACATAAGGTATAATATATATATTATGTCTATGGTTTTTCGCACATGCTCCTGATAGCTGGCGACCTCTCGCCAGCTGACGCTCTTTGCACTATCACGCTAGCGGCGCTCGCGACCGTGCGCCTGAAACAAAAAGCCGGAGCACGATCTTCGGAGCACGAGTAACGGAAATCGCTATAGCGAAATACAAGTACGACCGACACGTTATCGAAGTACGTTCCGCTGGAATACGTTACGCTTACCGATTCGTTAGAATAGTCTCGAGTCTCTTCGGAGATGTGCTTACCGTTCCGTCATTGTATTTAAACTTCGCTTGATTTATAAGTCACGCAGTGTAAGGTTGTGTTAGAAAATAAAGTCAGTTGAATTTCAAATAACGTGACTGTTTATTCGAAACCTTCACCATACCGTATCACACGGTGACATCCTGATCATAAAACCCGTTCTTAAACTAACGGGTACTAAAATCTAAATCAAAAAATCAAACACGAACTACAAATAAAATGAAATCTTACATAACCTCAAATTTTTCGAGAAAATGGCGAAAAACTGATTTTTCAGTTTTTAATTTTTTTCTCACGTAAAAATAATTTAATTTACATGAAATTTTGTGGAAGTATACCTTTTTTGCCTGGAATAAGCTTGATTTTTTTGGAATTAAAAACACACATAGTTTTTGAGATGTTGATACTTTTTTAAAAAACTACCCTCATCTTCCACGGATAACTTTATTGATGTTTTTTTTGTATTTTTATATTTA